AAATGTTCATCCAGCTCTGGGAAATGGCACACAAAGGCCAGCTAGGCCAGGGCCAAGGAGTAGTGGTGAAATCAATCCTGGGAAATGGCTAAAATGGCATTCTTTGGGGGAAAGGAAGGCTTTGATGGAAAAGAAGAGGTGTATGGAATTCATCTGGTGGGAAATTGGGGAACACTTTTAACTAGCTCTTCCAAGGACTAGCCAACCTAGAGCCCTTTGGTTGACAAGGCAAATAGGTGGCTTCCCCTTATTTTTTTATGGTAGTCCTGCCATAAAACCGGAAGACAGGTAGTTTACTCCCTCTTAAAGCCTTGGTTGAACTCCACCCCACACTAGCCCAAGGCTCTTCAGTTTGAAAGCTGACAGTGCATCCTGTTCAGTGGCTTCTGTTCACATTCTTGCTGGCCTCCAGGGCTTGCAAAGTCCTCTAAGAGGCTGAAACTGCAGTCAGCAGGCTAGGATCAAATGGTATTGCACCATTTGGCTGCGCTCCACTACACTGATGGGTAGTTACCCTGGAGCATGGAGAACAGTTTATCTGTCCCCACGGGAAACTCGATTTTACAATCCAAGGGCAGAAAATGCCCAAGACCAGGGACGTATCGGACTTTGAATGGGGGTGGAGAATGCAAAAGGGCAGCACCTAAGACTTGAGTGAAGGCCGAGATGGACTGAAACAGCGCCTTGGAAAGAGTTGCTCCATCGATCCTGAGCTACTGGACCAAAGGCTCCTCCACAATGTGTTTGTTTATAAACTTTTGAAACGATAAGTAAAGCGAAGTAAAAGCTACCATTTTATTTGGAATATGGAAACAAAAAGAAACAACGGCTGCAAAGTTTATGGACAGCTGATCGTTAACTCACTGAGGGCTGAAACCAGGTTTCATAGTCTAAAAAACAAACTCACTGCCATTGACTTGATTCTGACTCATAGTGACCCCATAGAACAGGCTAGACCTGCTCCTGTGGGTTTGCGAAATTGTAAGTCTTCACAGGAGTAGAAATCCTAGCAGGATTTAGCACATAGTGGAAATTCAATAAATACTTGTTGACTGAACAACTAAATCACACTAATATTAATAATCACACGAATATTAATAATGACAACAATTAATATTCCTGAGTCTCCGTTGTATGCTGGACCCAATTCTAAAGCACATCTATTTACTGGCTTCTTTAATCCTTGAGGTGCTGGTTCAGAAGGAATGTGCCTTGTCAGAGAGTATGTAACTAGCAAGCAGAAGAGCTTTAGGGGATTTTTCCAGGAAGGCAGGAGTATCCTAGCTACCGCGTGGTCTCTTAAGGATTGTAATGATCAACCAAGTGAACCATGAGGCAGACCCGAAATGGCAATGCTTATGCCTTGTTATTCTCCATTTCCCCTTATGCTTGGGATACCACCTACCATCGCTTCCATCATCCGGACCAACACATGCACTCTTTTCTTCATTTTGGAATCTAACTTATTCTTCAAACTCCAGCTCAGATTTCACCATTTAAGGAAGCCTGCCTTGATTGGGAGAAAGACGGGGCTTTTTAGTCCTGTGGTAGAGGTAGAGTCTTCTCCCAAGCACCAACAAATTTTGAGTATATGCTTAAAGAGAGAAAGAGAGAGAGAGAGAGAGAGAGAGAGACAGTCTTGGAAACCCACAGGGACAGTTCTACCCTGTTCCATAGGGTCACTATTAGTATTGACTCAATGGCAGGGAGTTCGTGAATGCCTTGATTACTCTTGCTAGAAGAACACTCTTCTACTTTGGAAGTCACACGGCACTCATAAGTCTTACTACTCATTTGGTTCTCTAAAGCTATATGTCACATGATGTTAGAATCAGATAGAACCGCATTCAATTTACTAGGTATGTGACTGTGGGCAAGTTATTTAACCTCCCCATCAAGCAGAATGATCTTTGAACTGGAAAGTGAATAAAAACACAAGATAGATGAGAAGATAATAAAGGAGCATTTAGTTGCCGCCAATAAGTTCAAGTTTCCAGGCCCAGACAAATTACATCCGAGTCTACTGAGAGAAAGTATGTGATCACAGAGCCCGTCTTGGTAACCTTTGAGAAATTATGGCAAAAGGGAAGAGGGGAGAGCCGCAGAGAGACAGGCAAATGTTCTCCCAACATTCCGAGGTGTGTGTGTGTGTGTGTGTGTGTGTGTGTGTGTGTGTGTGTGTGTGCGTGTTGGGGTGGGGGTGGAGGGCTGGTGGGCAAGATGTAGATCCTTGAAACAACACACCAGTGAGATGGCATTGATCCTTGGCAAAAGTATAGAATGCACTATTAAGCAGGTCACTTGGGAGGCTTTAAAAGGGGAGCAGAAATCAGTAGGGGTAAGCACGAACTCACTTAAAGCAAGTCATGCCTAACTGAGCCCATTTCCTCTTTTTGAAAGGATAACTAGACAAGGTGATGAAGGGAAGACCATAGGCATAAAGTTTCTGAATTTCAGCAAGTTTTTTTTTTAAGTTTCATGGTAGCCTCATGAAGAAAAGGCTGAGGACAGGAGCTAGATGGTAGCTGGAGTTATATGAACTTCTTAACATTTAATTCGCTTTCTTCAATGATGTCCTCAGAGGCTGTAAGACAGTGCTGTAGGATTCTATCCTGAATCCTCTTTCATTCTAGGATGTTCTTATTCTGGATGGTCAAATAGGCAAATTTAAAAACAAAAAACAAAAACTTCCTGGTATAGCACATGCATTCTCACAGGGGTGACATCAACCCCACAAGGAACAACAACCACACGCAAAAAGGTGCTTTCTGATTTATGTTTAAAGCACAGATATACAGCACTACATAAACAGATATACAGGCTATAGCTGTAGTTTTACAATGTCACAGAGGGAATTGAGGGAGGAATGTCTCAAAAGTCTCTTACAGATATAATCTTGGGAGGTAGGGGCGGGTGTGTGTGTGTGTGGGTGTGTGTGTGTGTGTGTGCAAAACATTGGTATCATGATTCTGATACTCTAAGTTGCGAGAATTGAAATCCAGAAAGATCACAGGAGAAGAGAGAGACAAACAAACAGGGTGGTCGTGCTCAAGGATCAAGCTAAAGCCCAGTAACTCGATTTGTAAAGACAGCACTAGAGCTTTAGCAGAGACTGAGGGCCAAGATAGCCATTTGTAAATGTAAGAAACAAAAGGCGTTTTTAGTTGAGCTGAGCTACAAGCTCGGCGTTGAGCAGATCTAGATTCAAGAGGCCACCAGAAGGAGATACTGTCCTGTGTGGAATGATTTAGCCTAATGGAGGCATTGTAGCCTGGGGGTAGAAGACTTGGGGCCTACGTGCAGATATTCTTGAGGGATGTCACATGAAAGAGGAATTAGAACTCGTTTGGGTGACGCCAGTGTTTGCACAACCCAAGGGAGAACTTTGCAATGATTAGAAATGTCCAAACATGGAATAAACGGCTTTACAGAAAGGTGAGCTTTTCAGATAAGGAGGATGCTATTTCTGCACTCATTTGATGATTACGAAGGTAGAAAATATGGCTGAAGAAGACAAGCCCAGACAGAACACCCTCTCTGTGTTCAAAGCCCAAAGAGCGCAGCATGGTGGAGACTTGCTTGAGAAATGTCATTTAAAAACTGGCCCGAGTGCTAAGCTGTGAAGCACCAATTCTCCCAGACCCTGGGGTTTTGTATGGCCCTGACTCTCTACTGCCAATTCCCATATCGGCAGAGAGAGCGAGAAGGCACAGAGGGACTGGCCTGCGGGACGATGCTAAGGAGGAGGTCTCAGAGACCAGACTTACAGAACTGCTCCGATTGGTATTGTTTCCTGAAGAGCCTGGTATTGGAGAGTGTATACATTTTTTTCCTTCTGAGGCCCTCCCTTGCTCACTCATTCTCTCTCTGTTCTCTCTTTCTCTTTCCCCTTTAAAAATTTCAACCAAACAGTTTGGTGCAGGAGTAGGTTCAGTGAAATGGGTATGGGGGTGATGATTTCAGATGGAAAAGTTAACACTTTTATGTTGGTTGGGAGAGCTGGGGGACAGCGTTGGACACTTTCCTTGTTTGTGAAAATGAAATAACCCAACAAAACAACTCCTGAATCACCGCCCTCGGACTGTTTTCGCGAGAAGCTCCCGGGAAGAAGGAAGCAGGACTCTTGACTGGGATCGCCCAGTGGTCGGAGCCGCCTACCCACCCCCCCACCC